GAGTGCAAAGCACAGGAATTATACCAGAAGACCGAACACTACAACGTGAGCGTGATCTCTGTTGATACAACATGTCGTTCCGCAATTTTCAGTTTTTATGGGCTACATCAACAGATGCAATTCAGATATGGATAACATCGCAGTCAGAAATTTCGGTGAACTGACTGTTATTTGTAAACAGTCTCATCTTTGTTTCCATTTACACCAAAATTTGACTGGATTTGATTGGTTCGTTGGTAAACGCGGAATAAAAATCGATGAGACCAGAACTAAAGCTTCTGTGCCCTGGAGCAAAGCTAAGGTGCTTTACACAATAGAGTAAAATAGAAGCCGGAAAGGGCTTGAAGTATCCCTATGTTACATTTATAAGTGCCTCCGTATGGTCTGAATGTAGTGCTAGAGCTTTATCCGGAAGACTAAAACGCTGGCATTGTCCGCTACTCGCCGATGATAGCTATCCATGATCGAAACTTTGGAAAATGCTCCATTTTCTAAATCCGTTGGGCTTGACGAACGTTGTGGAGACATTGGCAATGTACAAGAAGCAATTCAATTCCCAACAAAAATCAGCCAAAATAGGATTCCTGCGAAATATCAATGGTATTCAAGGTTTAATGAACATCTGACGTTCAAATGCGATGAATTGAACGCAAGATCCACGGAAAGTCTCTTGACAGAGTAATATGGTCAGGAAATATACTTGGCTATAGTGAAAGTCCAAACGTTTCGCGCTACAGAATAAACCCATAAAGAAGATATCACAAAAAATTTTTCTGAAGCTGCTGTCCCCACAAATTGAAAGGAATTGACCCTGAAAACGATGGCACTAGACATCTGTGATTTTTGGGACAGCGATGAATGTGCAATCATCAGTTAACGAAAGCATGAACATTATTCATATGAATCAATCAAATTTATTTCCATTAACAACAGTTGTGCTAGCGACAGAAAATTTTCAACACAGATTACAAGCAAACACATCAGTTTGCAAATGATAATGAGAATATTTCAACGCATTTAACAAATTGAATGCCTTCAATAATGGGCAGCCAGTAGATGCTTGTTTGTAATCCTCATAAAACTTGCAAATATGACTAACACGAAGCACTTCAACCAACGGTCAATCAGAATCATCGCAAAACTTTTCCATCAGCTTCGTCCATACAACTTGCATCCAATCGTCGTCCATCTCGCGAAACCTTTGTACGCATTCCGTCGTCCAATCCAGATTCACCTCCGGGTTCGCAATATTCAGACAGAGAGCGGCGAATGCCTGGAATTCGTAATCTTCCATGAACGTTTGCACACATTCCGCAGGGTCCTTGGCGGAAACGATCAGACTGATGATACAACGGAGCCGATCGCTGTTGAGCAGCGATTGAAGTTCGCGTGAACGCTCTGGAAAAAAAGTACGACGAGAGTCTGAGGCAAAACAGCAAAACTGTACATACTTAGGCGCTGCAGGTTTTCAATAGGAACCAGGTCTTTCGTGGAAAATAAACCGAATGACGAATCTTCAACTACAACATAAGCAATTCAATTAATCGATTTTATTTCTATACCAGATAGTTTTCAAGACACTAACATTACACGTTGCGTACAACTGTTTAGGTGTATTCCCCGGTAAAGGAAGATGCGTTTCTGTGACCAGACGTACTGGCCAATGGTACAGGATAATGATGCCAAATTGACAATGTATACCATAGCAGTGCCTGTTTATATAAGAGGTCTCGTCGAAGAGACGCAAACGGAAAGGTTAGATATAGATAGAAAAGCAATAACGATTTTGAATATATACGGCATGGTATATTTAAAA